ACTAATAATTGCTACAGTATTTGACTGGAAAAGTCGATTTTGAGCATTTAACGCGGGCACATAAATCAGTTCTTTGTATATTTCGTACGTTTCACAGAAAAGAAGATAAGTAATGGAAAATAAGTGACAACAGAGTAGTTGACGACAAGAAAATCAACTTGTATGTCTTCCTTGATTCAAGTAGCCAATCGTGAACGTTTGTGAATGCCATTTTCTATGCAGGGTTTTTACGCGCGCTTTGAGTGCAGAGGAACAGGCATACATTACGTTTTTGGCGGACGAGAAGGACGTCTCCGTCAAGGAGATTAGCCAGATAACGGGAATTTCACCTGCTACGATTCGACCAACAAATAACACATGAAAATTTTGCTGAATTTTCAGAGCGCGTGACCCATACTATGAACAATTTTCCTATCGCCGAAATAGATAAAACAATCAAAGTCAATGAACAAGCGCTTGCCATTAATAACAGCATCAAATGGAGAGAGAGTGAAATATTGACAAAACTTGTATTTTTACTTTCCAAATTTGAAAGCTTACTTTTGACATTTTAGCGATGTCCAGTGCAAAAGATCACACTATGAAATCTAGAAATGTGAAGCGCGGTGACGTGACAAGATGTACTATCGTGTGACCTGTAAAGACTGGTTTTCACTGACGGACGAATCTTGACTCTGCCGAAGCAAATGTATCCCGGGCAGACGGATTTCTTTTTAAATCAGTACGAAGAGGCTGTAAAAAGACCTTTTGGTTATCTTCTGATTATCTGAAAACTACTACCCAAGATAATTGTCGGTTGCTGAACAAACGTCCTGCTTAGTGAAGAAGGCTTTAACCAAGCAGGGTTTCAAGAAAATATTCCTCAAGAGCTTCTAAAATATCTGCAGCAGCAAACTCTTTCGCCTGTCCCACTTCTTCCGGCTATGCAAGAAATACAAGGCAACGTGGATGACGTGCTTTCTCGAAACGATCTCCGGGACGATGAAAAAGCTAAACGATACTTTCAGTTGCAAAACAGAAACCTGGCTTTTAAAGAACAATTAAATACAAGAACACGACCGGAAGAAATAATCAGCACTGTTCCAGACTTAACATCAAGGACACAAGATTCTTCGACAGCAACAACAGCATTCTCCACTCCCCTCAACCCCTTTAATGTAACACCTGAATTGACACAAGCGGCTATCTCTCAAAAACCTGACAAAGAAAGCCTCACCCCTCCACCACCCTTAAATTCTGCTTTCCTGACGCCTCCTCCCGAAGCGCAAAAGACGTCGGATTCAATTTGTAAATTATTTGGATGATCATAAAGCTGATGCCAAACAACTGAGGAAACGTCGGCATAAGAAATTCAAACCTTACAAGTACTCCATGGGCAAAGACGATGAAGATTAATTAATTTCCATTCCTTACAAATCGCTGTGTATTTGACTCTTTTTGTTTTTAATAAAGTTGTTAAAACGGTATCTCTCTTGTGGTTTTATTGCTAGCAATTATTAGTCGCGTGTTTTAATTGATCCTTAAGTTATTTAAAANTGGCTTTTAAAGAACAATTAAATACAAGAACACGACCGGAAGAAATAATCAGCACTGTTCCAGACTTAACATCAAGGACACAAGATTCTTCGACAGCAACAACAGCATTCTCCACTCCCCTCAACCCCTTTAATGTAACACCTGAATTGACACAAGCGGCTATCTCTCAAAAACCTGACAAAGAAAGCCTCACCCCTCCACCACCCTTAAATTCTGCTTTCCTGACGCCTCCTCCCGAAGCGCAAAAGACGTCGGATTCAATTTGTAAATTATTTGGATGATCATAAAGCTGATGCCAAACAACTGAGGAAACGTCGGCATAAGAAATTCAAACCTTACAAGTACTCCATGGGCAAAGACGATGAAGATTAATTAATTTCCATTCCTTACAAATCGCTGTGTATTTGACTCTTTTTGTTTTTAATAAAGTTGTTAAAACGGTATCTCTCTTGTGGTTTTATTGCTAGCAATTATTAGTCGCGTGTTTTAATTGATCCTTAAGTTATTTAAAATTGTTTACACCTAATTGCAATAACGTTGTCATAGAAGAAAGCAACAAGCAAAACGCCAAACAGGAATTAATTAGCCATGTGATTTACATTTGCGTATTTTAATAATTTAACAATTATTTAAGACGTCATCCACAATAACAAGAGATAACTCTTTAATTCCGCGCTCTAAGATAGACAGGCGCCATTGTCATTTTAGGGCCAACATTTTCCATCAACACAAGTCGCCCAATTCGAAAAAGAAAAAGGTAAATTGACGCGAGCAATGTCTCAGTTGTCGCACTTTCAGTCGCCAATCTATTATTCCTTACAAACAAAGCTTGGTTTGTGGCGCGGGTGACGAAGAGGCGGAGGACCCCCTCACCCTCTCTGCGATGAAAAGTCCTGCCTTCGCCCCTGATTTGCTGCTTGAAAATTGTGATCAGATGGTATTGTGCACTGCAAACCATACGCAGACTGGCTTTTCTATTTAGCACTAACCTCAAAGACGTGTCGCGTTCCTGGAATTTACTCCAGGCTACATTTATTTAAAAAAAAAATGAAGCAATTATTTCTTTAGTAGTTACCCGATGTACGTTTGTAATTTGAGCACGTTTGAAATTCGCTAGGTGAATCAGCCTGGAACTGCATGAGAATGACACTAAGAAACTGATGCAAATGATTTCTCTCATATTACGTGATTAATATTCAGCTACAAGCGTGTGTATTGTGAATGTTACAAGCTATGATAATTAATTCCTATTTAACTTTTTGCTTTTTGCTTTTTTCTATGACAACCTTATGGCAATTAGGTGTATATAATAATACGTCAAGGTTCTCCCTTGGGTGTAGCTGTAGAGGTAATTTGTATTCAACTTTGGGCTTGCGAACTCGCATAATTAACTGACTAACGGTGCGTGAAACTCTGAGACTGTAATAGTTTTTCATTTCCTCGAGAAAACGTCAGACAAACTTGAAATAGAGAGTTTTCAGTTCTACTTTGTGTATGTTTTGTTGATATATCCGAGTTTTAGACCTAAATAAGAAGACATAAACTGAATTGAAATAAAGACTTTTCAACTCCACTTTGTGTATGTGTTTTGTTTATATATCTGAGTTTAAGTGCTAAATAAGATATAGGAAGCCGTTTCTCGCGTTGCTAGGTGATCGCTTCTCTTATTCCTATTTCTCTTTTAATAGACGGTCTGAAAACTGGGCTCAAATTACTTAACGGGCAAGCCGAGGCAAGCCTATTGTGCCTATTGAGTAGAGAAACGCTCATTAGTAAACCTATACCGAATTAGTATGCAGGAAGACCCTCATTAGTATGGAGGAAGGCACTTTTTCCCTAGGTTATAACAATGGGTGACGTCATGGACTCGACCGTTATACATATTAATTAACGGAAGGCACCAACGAGGCTTAATTTCATCCTTCTATGACTACTAGGGTCCCCCCTGGAACGATGTATATGAGACGATATTTGCTCTTTTTGCTACAATAAAGGTTGGCCTTTATTTACGTACATTATCAGACTTGTTAGCAAACATCACCCATAATGGCTCTTACCAACAATTCCTCTCGGCTCAGTCCGTGCTCCTTTTACTTTTCTCGTATCGGAAGGTAACGCTAACGCCTGATCTGCCTTGAACATATATGGTGATTACAGTCGTACGCTACTCTGTACTTCCGTGTTTCCTTAAACGACTTTTGGTCAAAAGGTGACGCATATATCAAAAACACGCCAACAGCTAATTGATGAGGGCACTAAATGATTCTTTTGCTAACCATAAATTTTCATGTGAAATTATATTAATAAATAAATCAATAAATGAGTAACATGAAATGATACACAAAAGACTATTCTCCTTCATTATTGCTGGTACAGTTTATAAGTTAAAAAATAATAAATATGGGAAGACACTTTCTTTGTGATTACTACAAGAAGTGCTAATTAAGAAAGTGGTGGTTAGGAGGCCCTATAATACCCTAATTTTTGGGATGGGTTTAAGCAAGCCTCGTCTTTATCGAAAAAGCGTGAAAAATTGATAGCCATGGAGCATTTGTACATTAAGTATCATAACTATTGCCAAAATGAAGTTTAAAAGTTTATTGTTATTTAAAGCCTGGAAATTGTTCACTATTGAAACAATGGAATCATTTACAAACATAAGATAAAGTAACAAAAAGTTCTTGTATTCTGTACGTAAGGTCGTAAATTAATAAGTTAAAATAATAATAATAATAATAATGATGATGAATAATAATAATGATAATAAAAGATTTTCATGGTTATGGAACAGAAGTAGTCATAAATTTTTGTAGTTCAGTTATCGCGGATCTGGGTTCGATTCTGGTTCAGGTTCAATGCTGCGTTGCTGACATTCTTCCTTTCCAGCATGCAGTGATCACCTTTGGTAGTGTTAGCCTCGCAGAAGACCCAAAAGTCCCAGAAAAGACTTTGTTATTATAGCAAACGCAGAATGATTTATAGAGTGAATTCTCCGATACAAGATTAACCATGATCAAAAAGACAGAGCTGTCGTCTGGTTTAAGTTCTTAGATGAGTATAGTTTTGATTAAGGCAAAGGACATTGCTGTCAAACAGAAATGTCATCTTATTCTTCCTGGGTTGTATACAACACTGTAGGAAACTTCTGTGACGTGTTCCTTTTACATAACAACTTCTTTTTGTAACAAAAACATACTATGCCACAACTATCAATCTGCAGCAAACAGAATAATAATTGTAATGTTCACCCCAGTTGATGTTGTTGTTGGAGCCTTTCCCTGTAGTAACAAAGAGTTACTTACTGATTTAATAGCCATTATTATTCATTTAAAATATTTCCCCGATTCTGATTGGCTGAAAGCACATGAATAATTCACCATAACCAGCTACTTATGAACAAAATTGGAAGAATTTTGCGATTAATCAACCGATGACGTCAAAAGTGCAGCTTCCCTGCAGGTTAATGCACCGTTAACCGAGAAGACCTGGAGACGAGTTGAGTTGTTTTGGATGGAAAACAAAAATGACGGACATTTCACTCGTTTCAAGAGTAAGAACTAGGCTAAATAATAGCTAAAAACATGGCAAGAACAGCAAGAAGGCAACTCGAAGGGCGACATCTGCTATTTGGAGAATATTTGCGGAGCTGAATAACCCTGAACGTGCATGAGGAACTTAACATCGATGGAAGTAAGCATGTTTTTGCTATGTTTTTAAACTAGGAATTATTTTGAATGAATAATAAAGACAATTATTGAATTCGGCTTTCGTATCATATGAAGAATTATGGAGATCTCGGGGGGTGTTATCCGCCTCGGCCTAGGGCCTCGATGGATAACACCCTCCTCGATCTCCATAATTCTTCATAAGATACCCAGCCTCATTCATTAATTGGTAAATACTCAATACTTACATTTCAAGCCTTCCTGAGTGGCTTGCATTTATAGCAAAGTTGATAAAATACATGGAGAGACCGTTGCAAATGACAAACGTATGGCATTTACAAAATACATGCTCGTTACGTTACTAGACCCGAATTCATGACGACTTAATTAAAAGACACCTTATGTTTTTTCAGGTTTTTAAGTATCATTGTTTCATATTTTCTAGATTCGACCATAACTAATTGTTTAGAAACCTGTATGTGTGGGGCATGCATTATGTCCCCAGTTAGGGCTACTGGCGCAAAATGGAAACGACTTGACACGTTAGGAAAGATGGTGTACTTGCGTACATGTTGTGTCTTCCATGCTAACTGGCTTACCTTCCAACAATAACTGAACTTGAAACCCTGATCCACCTTGTGCTTTAGCCTTGAGAGTGTACAACCCCAGTCCAGACTGCTCTTCAGTAGTACTCATAGGTGAACCAACTCCAACTAACACGTGGATTGCACGGGTTCCCTTTCTTATCGCACACATTGGCAAGGTGACCTTTAGTATGCTACTTGCAATATTGAACCGACCTGGCCTAGCACCATGATGGAGAATGCGTTCTACCACAACGAAAACAACTCACGGCTTCCTCATTCGAATGTCCTGGACTGACATATTTGCCGACCTTATTGACAGTATCGTCCACCGGCACACTGGCGTCTCGAAAGTCTTCTCTGTGGGCTAACTCCATGGATTGTCCTGTTTCAAGCGCTTCAGTTCTTAAAAGTCAAATCTCTCTCTGAATTTTCAAGCTTATCAATTTGCAAACGAGGCGGTCCCGTAAAGCTTCTTCCAAAAATGTTCCAAACTCACACTTTAACGTCAGTCGCTTC